TGAAAGAATTAACCGCAGGATTCATTTTTGCTTTTGTTTCATTTAAAAATGTTATGAAATTTCAGAATTTTATTATAAAATATTACAGAGACACAAAGATACAGAGAATTATGTAATACCACATTTCCACCACTTGCTTAAAAGAGTCATCCCCCTCTCCCAACAAGTTGATCATTCTTGTGAACTTAGTGTCACCACTTTTGTAGATTTCTTTATCCTTTTACAATGTACTCTGAATCCTAAACACTTAATCCTATTTTTATGTATGTTAAATTTATCTGTAGGGTTGATATTATACACTGACTGATTTTATCTTATCCATGGCATCATGGATTTTCTCGCAGGTTTTATCTGTTGTTTAATTTTATGCGTTGCTGTACTTTGCTCAGTTCTCTGCTGGATGGTGGTCCTTTGGGCAGATACCACAGATTATTTACTATCCAAACAGAGGTTCTGATCGGGCTTCTCTCTGAACAGAGCATTTAAAATATTTTCTTAAAATCTCTGATTTTAGACCTGGTTCTACTTGCAACTTTCCTAGTCCTCGGAGGTACTCTTTCCAGTAGCAAGCTTAAACTTAAAAACAAAACAAAAACTATTTTTGTGACTATAAAACTAATACACACCCATTTTAAAGTAAACACACAAAAGTATAGTTCTCCACTTTAGCAATAATCACTGTGAACATTTTGGTGTATTTCTTTCCAGCAATTTTCATGTTTTGGTTTTGGCTTGCAAAAACCTAGTCCTATTGCAAGGGGCAATTCGCCAGTGGGCACCTGCTACATGTTATGTGCTCATATTAGGTGTAGAAAGTATAACAGTAAAACAGACAAGATTGTATTCTTCCCAGAATATTAAATAAAAAGCAAAAACTACACAAATAATCATATGATCGCCCTTGTGACACGTACCATGAAGTCACAGAGACTAAGCAGGGGATAAAATGCTGAGATCCCCAGGAGGCAGGAAATAGTCACATGCGGTAGGGAAGACCTCCACCAGGAGGAGAGGCATTCAGTCTGGATTCAAAGATACAAGAAGGGTGTATGACCTGTGGGTGGATACGTCTGTGTGTTGGGATTGGCAGGAAGCATGAGATAGAAGGCCAGGGGCAGTTACAGATCACCATCCCCTCATGAAAACCCATATGCCTAAATCTTTTCCCACTTTTCTGGTTATCCTGTAAAGACAGCATCCTAATGTGGAATTACTGGACTGCAATGATTTGAAGGAATCATGTTTATAGGATTTTGATGTATTAAAAATAAAACATTACTCAAGATTCTATATTTTGGATGTCAACACCAATGTGTTATATCATTGGTGCCAATGACTCTGACTAGTGCTGCTGGGAAGGTAGGCCTGGAAACAATGTCGACCTCAGAACTTTGCTATTATTACTTTTTACTCTATCACCTAAGGTGAGTGGCTATGAAAGAAATGACTAGAAGAAACATATTATTATTTAAAACACATGAAGAAAAACATAATGTTAAAACAGCAAAGATATGTGGGTTGGTATGTATCTTTGCAATGTGAAGAACACACACACACAACTCAGGGATACACTAAAGAATTATCAAAGAGGACCTGGATGGAGTCAGCGGACTCCACAAATTAACTGAACAGAAAAGATTATAATAAATGGGAAGACACTTCAGGAAAGAAACAGTATTATAAAAAAAATTAATGATCTCAAGACTATTTCACAATTTTAACAAATTCTAATAAATTTTTAAAAAGATTTTATTTACTTATTCATGAGAAACACAGAGAGAGGCAGAGACATAGGCAGAGGGAGAGAAGCAGGCTTCTTAAGGACCCCAGGATCACGCCCTGAGCCAAAAGCAGACGCTTAACCCCTGAGCCCTGAGCCATGCTGGTGCCCCTCAATAAAAATTTTAAAGGGATTTTTTTGGTTAAAATAATTCTGAAGTTTACTTGAAGAAATAATGTTCAATAATACCCAAGAAAATTGGCAAGAAGAAAAATCAACTAAAATGATTTCTTCTGATGGATAAGGATGGAGTGGGAGAGGAGAGAAACAGAGGCTACTGTTGTCCACAGAAACCCCAAATCTTTAGTTAATCTATGTCTGCACTCCTGTGATTAAAAATACAAAAAGATACACTTCAAGACCTAAAAGAGAAGTTTGTGGTAGGCTACAGAGTGCAGGAATAGGTAGACCTATTACTGGGACAAAAGAGACAGCTTTGAGTTTTTACAAAAAATAAAGACAGGGCAGCCCGGGTGGCTCCGCGGTTTAGCGCTGCCTTCAGCCCAGGGTATGATCCTGAAGACCCAGGATCGAGTCCCATGTCAGGTTCCCTGCATGGAGCCTGCCTCTCCCTCTGCCTGTGTCTCTGCCTCTCTCTCTGTGTCTCTCATGAATAAATAAATAAAATCTTAAAAAAAAAAGACAAAAATAACATTTTAAATCAGTGGCACGGTAAATATTGTGCAATTAAGTAAAATAAATTTGAAGTACTATTTCGTAAAATAGAATAATCAGAGATAAACTTGAGAAGAAGCAATGAAAAAAGACAATGCATAAGACAGGGAAATAAGGGATCCCTGGGTGGCGCAGCGGTTTAGCACCGGCCTTTGGCCCAGGGCGCGATCCTGGAGACCCGGGATCGAATCCCACGTCGGGCTCCCGGTGCATGGAGCCTGCTTCTCCCTCTGCCTGTGTCTCTGCCTCTCTCTCTCTCTCTCTCTCTGTGTGACTATCATAAATAAATAAAAATTAAAAAAAGACGGGGAAATAAGTATTTAGATGAATAGTATCTATGGTTGCTGTTAACAGCAAAATTAAAATACACAGTAAAAGGAGAGATAGTTGACTTCTAAAAATCTCAAATTTCTATATGCTAAAAAATCATATAAGTGTAAATGCCAAAAAGGAGAACTATGTACTAAAATTATATCAATGTTAATATTATATTTTCCTTACAAATTAAGAATGACAAACATCCCACTTAAAAAAAAAACAGGCAAATATCCTAAAAAACATATAGAAGGGGGGAAAAGTCAATAAATATAAGGCAATTTTGAATTCTCTGACCAGGGAAATGTATATTAAAATAATGATGAGATTCTGGTAGCAATGAAAGAACACACCCAGTGCAGATCTTGGTTTCCAAAGCCAGTCCCCAAGGAAAGCAACCAGGACTCCATGATGACATGACATATTTTACTGAAAACAAACCAAACAGATCTTGGTGGTCTCACATAAGAAGGGGAAAAAAAAAGTGCCATATGTTTAAAAGTGATACCTAGCAGAATCCACAACAGAAAGGTAACAAGGAACATTTACCTGCACTGCTAAAGTTAAATTCAGGCAGAAAAAAAATCACACCGAAATAAATATAACGCTGTTGCAACAATAGACTAGGACTTGGCCCTATTTTAAAGTTGTGCGTGTCCATTTCAATCGAAGTTGACCCTACTCTGGAGGGTGGACTCCAGCAGCCTCACCTGGAAGGCAGGGGTGAGACTCCCCCACAGGAGGGGCCCTGTGTCCACCATATCCCTGGCACAGCTGACTTTTTCTATAGCAAAGTAAAAAGGCTCCATGTCCTTTTAAGTGCAGCGACTTAGAAAAAAGGCCTGGCTTAAAGGGCCACCTTTGGATAAATTTGTCTCTTATTCCAAAACCTTTAAATATTTGCAACTTTAAAAGAGGGGAAAACTAAAGGTTATATCCATTCCTGCTTCTAAGGAAAAGAGTGGAGTCTGCTTTTATTATAATGAGACTCTACCACCAACCCATACAAGCCTATATACCTTGCACTTCTTTTAAGGTTAGGACCATACCCAATTAGCTTGTGATTTGAGACAAAGAGTAGCAGAGAAAAAATTTATTCAGTGCTAATATGATTATGTGTGGCACACTGGGGCAAATGTTTGCACATGGGTTATCTCAAGTAATACATGCAATCCCAAAACAGGATTCTGTGGGGAAACAGGCTTGGGGGGAAGCTAAGGCTCCGAGACCCTGTCTAAAAATAAAGGATGACATGCAAGTCTAGTAACAGTTTGTCCTCAGCTCAGGCCCATCCTCACTCCCTGCAGTCTTTCTGACCCACTCTTCATGTCTGTGAAATGAAGCTTTACACATCCTCTAAGTATCTTTCCAGCTCTAATATTCTGGAACGTTCTGACTTAAGATTTGCTCTCATCTGAAGCTCCAAAAACCCCACGAGTGAGGCAGTCATAATTGCAAATTTAAGAGTCAGGGTGTTCAGTCTGATATAGGACTTCTGTGCTACTCCCAGAAACATACATTCATCTAGAAGGTGAAGCCCAAGTACTGACATTTCCAGGGTTGTTTCATCTGTTTATGGAAATAACTGAAATAGATTATTATATAATGGGATGCCTCAGATGGTCTGGGGTGAGTACAGTGTGGACAATAAGGAGAGTTAAGAAGAGCCTTGGTCTTTAGAGTTCTTGCTCCCATCTTTTTCTTCAGTTTTCTCATTTGGTGCCAACCAGCTCCTTCAGTCAAATGTCCTATGAAACCTGCACTTTCGGATCAAATCCTCATCATTCAAAATCAGTAATTCTGATTCCTTTTCTTTCATTCTTTCCATCTTTCATTTCTGACGTGGCCTGACTGCTGGTAGACAAGGAAGTGACTGGAATAATTCATATGAAGGCGTGAATGGCCCATTGCTGACTCAGCCTGTGATCCCCTTCCCAGGCAACTTTAAATTCTGAAAGAGTAGCTAGTGAATCCAAACAGGATCTTAAGTTCAGAGTTAAGGAATTATATTACTTAGGCAAGTCTATGGACAAGTCAGAAAGCATATTTTTCTACACCAGTTCCCCTTCTTCTGTATGGATATGGTATCGTTAATAGGATACTTTAAAGCTATAATTCCCAAACTTCTGAAGGTAGACCTCTATTAGATTTTTTTTTTAAAAAAAAGGACACTTACCCAAATGACGTACTCAATTCATATATACATGTCCAATTACTGCACTGATAATGCTTTAGTACAAACATACACATTTTAAAGGGTGTGATAAAAATGAGCAATACTTTCACCGTATTTTATCTTAATTTTAAAAGCACACATTTTTGCTCTCACTCCAACTTGTTTTGAGTGTAAGTGGTAAGACTGAATATACTTCTCACATGTAAATGACACACATTTACCAAATGCCGAAAGAAAAGAAAACAGCCGGTGAGTACCTCTACCCCCAGGCTTCACTGGGGGCACTCAGGTCTTTTCACCATGGTCTGTGCCTGTCAGATGTACGAAGGGGAGGGGGAGCAAGATGGGTGAGGGGGTCACTCTGTACAGTGCTGGTAAAGTCTGATTCTCTTCTTTGATCAAAGACAGCGGTAAGAGAGTTGTCATGGTCTCTTCCTGAACCCCAGTTAACTTTCACGGCGGTGGACTCACGGCTCTGCATGCCTTATTTAAAACAGGAGCAGGCTCAGATCCAAGTTTTGTGGAACTTGGGACTGTCACAACTTCTGAGGGGCGGAAACTCCTGAAGAAAGAGAGCACACACGCAAAATCTCACTTTTACAACTTGAACATTCTCGGTGAGCACGACTGGGCCCTCCCAGAGCAGTGAAAGGGGGAAGCCTGGGGGGGGGGGAGCCTTGTGGGGGGGGGGCGGCACCTCCAGCAAGAAGGTGAGGGACGGGCCTTCAGAAGACTAGAGGAGCGTGCTCCTGAAAACGAGGCAGCTTGGGAAAGGCGGCTTCTTTGCAGAAGGCTGCGTAGGGGACCGGAATTCAAATGTCCTTCCCTGCTGGAGGCCTCTTAACGGGCCTTCGCTCTTGGCGGACCTGCCTTCTGCCGCACAGCGCTCGGGGGCCTGGAGCTAAGCACGGAGCTCCGGTGTCCGCATCCATCGCGGCCTTCGCCGTCGCCGTCGCCGTCGCCGTCTTCCTCTCGCTCCCTCCTAAAACCCGGAGCTGCGGGCTCACGGCAGAAGAGCTCGCGGCTCCACGAGGAGGATGTGTAGCTTCTGGGCAAAGGACATCCGGGACTTCACTAAAGTAAGTCACGCGGCCAGCTCCCGCCCACTGAGGGGCCCATCTGCCCCGCTCCTCGTGGGCAAGAGATCCGGGCTGGGCTGGAACTGACCTTGCGGAAGTCCCTGCCCGGCTCCCTTTCACCGCACCGTTCGCGACGCACGACGGCAGAGGGGAAGGCGAGAGGCCGGCGGCGGCCCACAGGGCGAGCGCGGCGCGAGGACCCGAGGTGCAGCAGGCCCGGAGGCTGCGCCCTCGAGCGCGCTGGGGCGCGGCCACGCCCGAGGCACGCGGCGCTGAAGCGTCGCCGGCCGCCCGGCAGGCGTGCCCGCCTCCACGCCCCGCTTCCTCCACGCCGGCCTCCAACGCTCCTTCCATTTCCGTCCGCTGCAGAACAGGGCCCCTCGGCTCCCCGCAACGCTCCGCCCGGACTCCCCTCGCGGCTGCCCAAGACTAACAGGCGGGAACGTTCTTTGACCCAGAGGCGACCAGCGGACTCGCGCCCCCGGCGCCGGGCGGCCGACGCCACGTTTACCCGGCATGCTCCGGGCGGCCAGGGACTGGCGGGCCACGGCCACGTGACGCGGGGGCGCCGAGACTGCGCCCTGCTCCAGTCTGCGGCTGCGCGGGGCGGGGGCGGGGGCGGGGGCGGGGGCGGGGCCCCGGGGGCGCGAAGGCGGGCGCGAAGGCGGGCGGGAAGGCGGGCGCGGAGCCGGCTGGCTGGGCCCTGGCGAGGACGAGGCGCCGGAGCCGGCGGCGGGTGTCGGCGGCTCTGGGGTTCGGGGAGCGGATGCACACCCCGGCCCGGGGTCGGCCCCGGTGCAGCCCGGGCGGGGAAGGCCCGTGCCTTGCCCCCCACCAGGCACGGGCGGGTTGGGGGCGCTGCAAGCCGGACAGGGCGCTCCGAACTCTCGGGTCTTCCCTGAGCCGAGGCGCGCAGTGGGTCGGACGGGTTGGAGGGGCCCCCGGAGCCGGGCGAAGGGCCGGGCGCCCCAGGAGCCCGGGGACGCGGCCACCGCCGGGGGTCCGTCCCGGTGGCCCGAGCCGCCGTCTTCCTGGAAAGCTTGGCTGTGACCTGAAGGGGCAGGCGGCCGCGGCGTGAGGAGAGCGGAGGAGAGCGGAGGAGAGCGGAGCACGCGCCGTCTCCCTGTCTCCCGGGGGCGGCGGGGTCGGTCCTCGTGCCGCCGCCGGCCCGTGCGCGGGGACCCGGCACCCACAGGGCCCGCGGTGGGGCGGGCGCCCCGCGGGGAGGCCCCGGGCTGCCCAGAGCGGCCCTCGGCCGCGGGTGGGAGGGCCGCTGGCTGCCGTCCCCGACGCACCGCCGGACGCCGCCGAGTGAAGGGCTCGCGCTGCTGGGGCCCCAACCCCTCAAACCCCTCACAGGTGTGGGCACGGCCCGACCGGCGCGACCGACGGCCCCGGCCTCCGCCTCCGCCTACGCCCGCGCCCGGGGATTCGGCGGGGCGGGAGCCGGTGATTGAGACACCACTGCCCCCTGGTGGCCGCGCGCCCGAAGGCGAACTCCAGGGTTTGTGTTCATGGCTCTGGGTTTTTGGAGGAAGAGTCTCTTCTAAGAGTTGGGGGGGGCGGGGGGTGAGTCTTGAGTCACGTAGCATCGAAACACGCGTGGCAGGGGAAAGGAACCCGTGGGGCCGGTCAGGGCCGGGAGGTTGGGTTATTTCCGAGGCTGCCTGACTGGGGGCCTCGTGGGCTTGAGCCACTTAGCGATGTCCGCGGTTCCCGCGGTGTCAAGTGCACGCAGAGTTCATGTGCCAAAGACAAGGTGTCACTTGCTTGTATTGCCTGTCATCTGGGATTGTCTCTCTTATTACTGTTTCTCTCCATTCGGATGTCAAGCTTCTCAGGTCTGAACTGAAATGCAGATGACACTGACCCCCGATTCGGGACTTCCACCCCTGAACCCCGGCCCTTGCCCTGGGCGAGTCTGGAGGGCGCCTGACTCTGAGCAGAAAGAACCCAGCAAAGAATAGAATACTTCCTCCCACTCCAGAAAGCGACAGTCCCCCAAGCCAGTGTCTTCCAGGCTTCAGAAGATCGGGTCAGACAATGATCAACGAAGCCGAGGAGCTAAGGATGCCCCTGAATAAATGTCCTTTTGCTCTTGAGAGCCCTATGCTCCTCCCCATTTTGTATTTTACTACTTCACATGTCTGGAGGCCTTTGGTCTTACCCTTGGCTAAGCTAGTTTAGAGGAAGAGAGAGGCAAGGGGAAGAAAGGGAACTATTGTAGGTTTGGTTCAGTGCTCTACGATCTACAAAAGTTGCTTCATTGACTGCTGTGGAGTGAAAAACCAAGACGCAGAGAATTTACTCATGGCCCAAGTTAGACAGTAAGTACATGGTAAAGGGCAGAATGCGACCCTGGGTCTCTCTGAATGCAAAGAGCAGAGGCTTAGGCTTAGCAAGAACATCCAAGCCTGCTGGGACTGTAGGCTGCTGTCAGGACGCATGGCTCTTACCCTGAACCCTGCTCCCTTCTCATATGGCTTCATGATGAACTTCCCATGAAACTGGAATACTTCTACTTCATCTCGGGAACTAAGAGTAAGGAAGGTTTACGGACAAGATTGCACTAAATTCATCTTGTCCTCTTTTCCCCATATTATGCATGAATAAGCTCGGTGCAGAAGGAGGAATGCTAAGCCAGGCAGCAGGATTTAAGGATTTTCAGCCTGTGGATTCAGGAAACAGAAGTCTTAATTTTTAGAGCTGCTCTGTCAGGCACTTTACAGCTTCCTCTTCTAAGGGCCATAAATCTCCAGACTGCCAGCCTCCAGACTCACATGTAAATGGTCCTATACATCGGCAGCCACTGGCCACCAAAACAAAGCCAGGGAGTGAGTGATCCATGAATAAGGCTCACGTATGGTCCTCAGCTATTCAGGCCCACCGTCCATCCAGACACAGGAAGGGCCCTGGGCATCCGAGGCGGACGGCCACATTTTCTGGCAGTGGAGACTGGCAGAAAGGGAGGCCCAATGGAAAGGTACTCCTGCAGGCCTGCCCTTGTCTGGATGCTTCCACAGTGCAACAGTCTGACCCCTGACGCAGGTCATCTGGGGGTGGCTCTCTGAGGTTGGGGTCTCTGGGCAACAGCCTCAAGGGGAGACGAAGATTGGCTGTGTGCTGGGCTCTTGCTCACTGATGGTGATTTAACTATGAAGAAAAGGCCCTCCTGAGTCTCTGTTGGCTTTGGGAATGTGCAAGTATGTCCACTGTCTTAGGACATACTGCAGACTTGTCTAGGATTTTTACTGCGTGGGGACATGTTATATGGAGGAGAACCTCAAAAGAAAAAGGTCTGTTTTATAGAGCAGGGCCTGCAAATTTTTTTTTTTTTTTCTGAAAAGGACCAGGTAGCGAATATTTTTACTTTGCGTATAGCCTATTTCAACTACTCAGCTCCTCTGTGGCACAGAAGTCGCCACACACTGTGCCTGAGTGAGGGGGCCTCACTGTTTTTCAGTAAAACTTTATTTACCAAAAGGCATAATAGGTGGGATTTGGCCCTCAGACTTACTTTGCTGATTGATCCCTGGGATAGAGAAGGAGCAAAACCTAATCCCTATTCAGTTATGCACCAGATCTGTGACCTCAGATAATTCCTTATCTCTGAGCTTGTTTTCTCCTTAGTAAAATGGAGTTCACAATATCTACCTTTTAGATTTCTGGTAATGTATGTAGAGCTCTTAGCATACCATATGGCAAAGAGTAGGCATACAATAAATATAGGGCTTTCCGTCCAAACAAACACCTTTAGTTGTTGGGGTTGATTCACTGTAGGTGCCTTAATGTGCCGTTGCTTTCATAGTCTTTGAGAGGCTTCTTTTGCCTCATTTGTTAGACCTGACTCAAGAGTAAATGAAGCCTCTTTCACCCCATTTGTATTCTAAAAGTAGGTCTTTCCAAACTCACTGACATGTTATTTCAAACTGTCTGGCAGCATTTAGGGCTTTGTGGAGTCCCCTGGCAATTTCACTGCACCAGAACATTGCCTACCCTGAAATTTTTAAATTATAATGGAATGCAAAACAGATGTACCAAATCTAGGGAGGACTAGAGCAACATTAATTTGTTCCTTGGGAATGCCCTTCATAAGCACGTTTTTGGGCAGACATTTGTGATAAGAGCCAGGCAATAAAAGATCCCAGCGTGTTCTAAACACTGCAATTTTGGCAATTTGTGTCAAAGAAAATTTGGAAGGCACCGATAACTGAAACAGAACTGACTGAATTTATGGCTCAACCTTTCACTGAAATATCTGTGTTTGGAAGATGTCACTGATCAGAGAAATGAGAACCTGGAAAAAATTAGATAGGATTCAGACGGGTAGAACTCTGAACTCTCACACTGGTCAATACTTAGTTGTTTAGAATATGAACTGGGGCCAAGTTCCTGCTTGGGTCTCTTCAAGGTGGCTGACTTCATGATGCATTACAAATACCAACTTGAAAATAAAGTGCTAAACTTAAAGGCAGTATTTCCAGAAAAGCTGACTTTTATATACAGGGTTATGATTTTATGTATATTGAGCTTCAAATTAGAAAAAAAAAACACAATACGGATAAACAAATAGCACGATAGAGTAATACTTAATACTTAGTATGAATGCCGTTAAGATACCAGCCAGAGAATTAGGCTGAACCCATGCTGTCAGCTATCATACGTTACAGTCTTGTTAATCATATGATCCAGAGAAGAAGTGTCTGTGGCACAAGGAAAAAAAAAATCACTTCTTTTGGCAAATCTGAAGTTTCATATCCTCCAAGATGTACTTGTTATACTTTCCTCTGTAAGAAACAAATCTGATGGAAATCTTTCTTCACTCTATAGAGTTATAACCTTCTGGGTAAGACTGACCTACTTTTTATCTGATTCTATACTACCACTTCTATGGAAAATGAACTGTACCAGGCAAGAAATGAATGTCTGTGTTAGTCCAGCTGTGCATCAAGACATGCTTTAAAATAAGGATAAATGTTTTATTTAAGAAAAACAAAGCAAAACAAAAAAAAAAAAAACAGAAATAGTTCACCAAACTAGAGTGTAAGCATCTTCTGTAGCTTTGCTACTTACTAATAATTTACATTTTCTTGGTAGGTTATTTTCATATAAAGTATGTATTTAATGTATTTTGTTCGGCCAAAATGCAATTGTGTGGTTGAGCTCGTGCCATGTGTAAAATTCTGTACTGTTTTTAAGATTTTTATTTTTATGGGACGCCTGAGTGGCTCAGCGGTTGGGCGTCTGTCTGCCTTCAGCTCGGGGCATGATCCTGGGGTCCCTGGATCAAGTCTCGCATCGGGCTCCCTGCATGGAGCCTGCTTCTCCTCTGCCTGTGTCTCTCTCTGCTTCTCTCTCTGTGCGTCTCTCATGAATAAATAAATATTTAAAAAAGAGATTTTTGTTTTTAAATAATTTGCAATTAATAGGAGGTTGTACCTATGTACCTTCCCCCAGTTTTCCCCAGTGGTTATATCATATGTAACTATTAT